CTCTCTCTCGCTCTCGCTCTCTCTCTCTCTCTCTCTCTCTCTATCAAGAGCTAATAACACCTAATAATACTTAATAATACCAAGAGCTAAGGTATTATTATATATATAATTAGCTCTTGTCTCTATCTCTCTCTCTCTCTCTCTCTCTTTCTTTCTTTCTTTCTCTCTCTCTCTATCAAGAGCTAATAACGCCTAATAATACCAAGAGCTAAGGTATTATTGTAGTGCGATTTTGGTGATGATCTCCATGCAGGATCTTGTAGAGCCGACAGCGTAGACTTGTAGTAAACAGTAGAGATGACGTAGTCGCGGGTTAGTATGAACTCTGACTTTATTAGTACTCCGCCGAACACACACACACATACATATATATATACTACGGCAACCTAGGTAACCATGCCTAGATCCCACGTCTCGTCTTCCGTTCTCTACATAGTAACTGTCTAATATCTCAATTCTCTAGTATATCATATCTTGCTCTCTGTCCGAGCGAGCCTATTTATACTCATTCGAAACCGGGCCCGAACGCCCTGCAATTTAACCAGTTCGCCAATCACCCACTGGATTTAGGTGGTTAGGGTGCGCGGTGGGCTACGAAGTCTTGTGTTATTACAATAATATCGAGGAGCGTAACTAGCCGCATGCCTCGTCGGGCTAGAAGCGCCCCTGGCTAATGAGATATTATTAGCTCTTGTCTCTGTCTATCTCTCTTTCCCTCTCTCCTTCTCTCTCTCTCTCTCTCGCTCTCTCTCTCTCGTCCTCTCTTTCTTCTCTCTCTCGCTCTCTCTCTCTCTTTCTTCTCTCTCTCTCACTCCTGATCTCTGTCTGTCGATCTCTCTCTATCTCTATCTTTATCTATCTCTATGTCTCTCGCTCTCTCTATCTCCTCTGCCTCTCTATCTCTCTCGCGTCGCCTACAGTTGCTCTTACGGATACGCGAGCTAGAAGGTTGCCATGACATCCGTTGTTGACAGCTAGCAATTAGCAATTTTACGATGAAATTCTAAACTGAATGTGAAAACTAAAGATATATATATATATATATGTATAATATATATATATATATATATATCAGAAGTAGATAATAGGGAATTGCAATACAGCAATCATTGCAATACCGCTATTCGTTGGTTCTCTCTGTAAGGTTAAAATTTCCGCGTCATAATTTTTTATTCGTACAGTTCGTTTGATGTACGGATTCATTCGATCGGTGCCTTGGGGATGGGACAATAAACCTATTTGCTATTTTTTTAAATTTTTGGTGGGTTGGGTGGTTTTCAACTAGTTTAAACAGATTCATATAAGATAAGACTTTGAGAATACATTCATGTGCTGGTATAACGCCTGCAACTACAGTCATTCAATGCTGCGCTACTATATATTGCATATCATTGCTAATAAACTACTTGATGTATATATCTACATATACTTGACGTTCTTTAGCTTGTTTGTGTCATAGAAAATATGTACGTAGTTATTAGTCTACGTCGCGTTGCCTTAACAAACCCGCCCGTTAAATTTCATACTTCAAACTTGTATTAAATACAATATAGTTAAATTGTATACACGTGTTACACATTTGCATAACATTGTTCATTGTATGCATCGGGCATTGTATTGTACACGATACTGCAATTGTATTATTAGCACAATTGTATATTTGTTTATCCTAGTTGTACTTTAATAAATATTATGCTCAATTATAAAGGAGTAAAGCACAACGTGGTTCATTCTCGGTTCCCCAGGGGAAAAATGTGCCATTTCACAGTTCCCATTTGAAATATAATCGCAATTACTAATTCGGTTTAAATCTGGGGAAAAAATTGGATTTTAAAAACATGTATCCGGTATTTCCCGGTTCCCAGATATAATTAAAATGGTCCGATCCCGCATTTTAAAAATAACCGCCCCCCCCCAACCTTTATAAATGGCAACTCGCTTTCGGATTGATTAGGAATAATTATGTGAAATACGCGTGAATGGCATCCACCGACGTGAACACGATAAATAAATCAACTTAGCGAGATTTTTTTGGCAAGGTTTTGCGGTTAAACAGTGACCGATCGATTCGTCGTGAATATGGAGAATGAGTGTGAAAGGAGGAATCGTTGGCGCGATGCTAATGAGGGAATGTGCATTAACGTTAATTCTGTCTCGTGCACGCGCTGGTAGTGAAGCATGATGATGGGGGATCGTAGCAGCTGTGTGTGGGGGAGGCGAGGGAAGGGGAGAAGCGGAGAAGGAGAGGAGAGGGAAGGGGAGAAGCGGGGAAGGGGAGGCGAGGGAAGGGGAGAGAAGGGGAGACGGGGGAAGGGGAGACAGGGGAAGGGGGAAAGCGGAGAAGGGGAGAAGGGAAAGGGGAGGTTTAGCAAGCGTTATTGCGTTTCTTTACTACCATCCCACGTTATAGCACTCCCTTCCTCACATTGTCATTCCGGCCAACTCTTCCATCG